AGCATCGGGGCCAGCGGCTGCTAAACTACAAGCCCCCAGTAAACACTCATGTGGACATAACGCTGGGTCTGGGCCACTCACCGACCCCACTCTGGTGTCCCCAGTATTGTGGATATTCACCCCGGGGCTCCAGCTGTCCACAGGACCGCTGGCCATACAGCAGACCTTGCAGCCAGCCTGCACTGTCCCCAGACAAGATGAGGGATCCCAGAAAGCCCCCCCCCCCAACTTGTGTGTCTGATGCTTCCTGTCGCTGGAACCACAGCCAGGTTCATCCAAGGAACCTCTGCCCTGGGATGGCTCTCACTGGCTGGCTGATATCTGCAGGGCAGCCGGGAGCAGCTGGGAATGTTTTCAGGAGCCCCCTGGGTGCCAAATGCAGACAGTACCCAGTGCGACCTCACCAGCTGTTTCCCAGAAGTCATCCAACATGCCTTGCTAACATTTAAACCAAAACCAGCATCCGTGGTGGCTGGTGCCTGTGTGGAACCAGGATCTGAGCAGGGAGCGGATCAGGACACCAGAGACCCCGTCAGGTGGATGCTGAGCTCCTTTGAGGATCCTGAGTTGCTCTGAGGTTCTGACACCAGGGCAGATAAATGGTAAACGTGGGGCTAAATGCACTCTCGGTGAAATAACACATTTGACTCCTTTGGGAACCATTACAGCTCACGAGCAGAGATCAACTCCGAGAAGCGGACTGATGTCTGTAATTACCCAATCCGGCGGCACAAGGATATGCCACCCCCACTCCACCCTCCCCCCAGCCAGAAAGGGGGTGAGAACAAGCCAAAGGATGTTTGGTTAACTGCATAGGGAATACTAAAAAGCGGTTAAATATTTCACAGAGCTGTGACAATAAAACGAGTCTATCCAGAGACAGGCTCTACGTTGTGTGAAATGCTCAAAACTGGCAAAAGAGGAAAAAGGTACAAATAAGGTGGATGGGCGATTCTGAGCAGGAATCATGTGAACTCGTGTAACTTGGATCAAGTATGCATTTTAGGCCAGTTTTCAGAAGGGGTCACATGATGGGGTGGAGCGAGGGGAGGAAAGTATCTTGCGAGGCTCATGCCCCCACTCTTCAGGTCAAGGACCCCGCTGAATGGGGATGGGGCAGTGGCCTCATCTGGCGCCCCCCAGCCTTAAGAGGGGGCAGCCCCTGAGGACATCCGGGACCAACAACCCCCGCCTTGCTCTGCACGCGGGGAGGGTGGGAGGACCCGGATCTGGGCGCTGCGTCGCCAGAGCCGGGCCGCCGCCTGTCTGGGACCCCTTTGCCGCTCCCCCCCCCCCCCTCCCGCGCGCTCTCGCCTTGGCCGCCCCTTCTCTGGAAGCTCGCGACGAAGACGCTCAACGCCACCACCAGCAGCAGCAGCAGCAGCAGGGCCTCAGCCTCCCGACCAGCGCCCTCCAGCGGATGGCGTGGGAAACAGTCGTTTCCGTGGGAAAGCAGCTGGAGCAGGGGGTCACGGCCCACAAAATCACAGAGTGCGGTGGGAAGATGTGCGGTGGGATGACAGAAGATGTTGGGGGCGCCATGCCAGAGTTGAGCCCTTTTTTGTTTTCCTTTTTTAAAATTTTTATTTAAATCCAAGTTAATTAATACATAGTGTAATAATGGTTTCAGGAGTAGAATTTAGTGATTTATCACTTGCGTATAACACACAGTGTTCATCCCGACAAGTGCCTTCCTTAATACTCATCACCCATTTAGCCCATGCCCCCCCCCCCACCTCCCCTCCAGCAACCCTCAGTTCCTTCTCTGTATTTAAGAGTCTCTTAATGGTTTGCCCCCTCTCTGTTTTACCTTATTTTTCCTTCCCTACCCCTATGTTCCTCTGTTGTGTTTCTTAAATTCCACGAGTGAAATCATATGCTATCTTTCTCTGACTTATTTCGCTTAGCATAATACATTCTAGTTCCATCCACGTTGTTGCAAATTGCATTTTAGAAGTGTGTTTCAGGGATGCCTGGGTGGCTCAGTCGGTTAAGCGTCGACTTCGGCTCAGGTCATTATCTCGTGGTTTGTGGGTTCGAGCCCCGAGTCGGGCTCTTGGCCGTCAGCACAGAGTCTGCTTCCAATCCTCTGTCTGCCTCCCTCTCTGCCCCTCCCCCTCTCACAAATAAATAAACATTTTTGAAAAAGTAGAAGTGTGTTTCAGTCCTACACTAAAGGAGGCAAAGGCAGGCATCGTGGGGTTTGGCAGAGGATGGCTATCCCCCAGTGTCCGCTCCCTTTCCTCCCTTAGTATTAGAACCGACAAGTTTTAGGTGAATACGTAGAACAAAAACTACATCTCTGACCATCTGGCGTAGCCAGTTATGACCTTAGGATTAAGTTCTGGCCAATGCACGATAAACCAAAGTGCAGTGTGTGTGACTGGTGGTCGATGCAAGGCTGATTCCTGGATGAACAGATTCTTCCATGGGAGAATCAAGGACACCCTTGTGGTGACAGCTGTGGAGGGTGGGGTCAGAGAGGATGCGGGGGAGGTTACTATGTCGAACCATATAGGGAAAGGTGTCGTGGCTGGATAGGTGAGGTCCCTGTGTTAAAGGTTAGGGAGAAGCTCAAGGTAAAAGAGGAACGTTCCTGAAATTTCTATCCATTTTTAAGAACAGGCTCAAGTCTGTGACCATCTCCCTTTGTGGCCAAGGGCGTCCCTGTTAGCCCATGTACCTGTTGACTGTCCAGCAGCACCTTCTTCTGACCCACACAGGCTGCTGGTCCTCAAAAGGTCAGTTTGGACTGACTGCGGGGACACCTGGTCCAGAATGCTCCTCATGTGAGCCTCAGACCACCCTCACGGGACTGTCCTAATGACTTACTAAAACTGCACACTTTAAGGACGCCACCCAACCCCAGATGGATCAGTCCCTCTGGTGGTCCTCGTGATTCCGATGGACACTCAAGTCCAATCCACCATTTTACACATGGGGAGACTGAGGCCCAGACGAGGAGTGGGACTTCCCGGAAGTCTCCCTGACAGCAGAGCACTGGGCGAGAACCCAGGAATCAAGACCTGCAGGCCAAGGTTGACCCCACTGCCATGTGGATCCTCTATCCTGGCTCTCTCAGGTGGCTCCTTGCTAATTTAAAGACTGTCTGAGATGGGTCACAATCTGCATGGCCTCCTCCATCCTCGCAATCCTGGGACAAACCTCAGGCTGAGGACACACCTGTGGCCCCTCAGAACATCTCTCAGATCCTCTTGCAGCCATAGAACCCTAGCCGCACGGACTACGCAGGCCCAGGAACTGCATGCCCTAGGACTCCATGCAGACTCGCAGATTCCTCTGATTAGACATTCTCTCCTTCTTTAATGTTTATTTGTTATTTATTTTGAGAGACAGAGAGGGAGAGAGCGAGCGAGCACGAGCAGGGGAGGAACAGGGAGAGAGGGGGAGAGAGACTCCCAAGCAGGCTCCACGCTGCCAGCTCAGAGCCCATCGCGAGGCTCGACCCCACGAACCGTGCCTTGTCCTTTCACCTTCCGAGTCACGTAAGGTATCACTAGCTCACAACTAACGTGGTCCCTGACCTCCTTAGAGCCTCATGATTTGAAAAGTCAAGTGAGACGCCTGCGCTCAGAAACCTGCCTCGGAGTCTTTTCTCCCTCAGCAACACCGACTGTCCACAAACCCACAGCCCTATGCCTGCTCTTTAGGGAGTGGAACTGGGGACGTGGTTTGGAACCATGGGGAGCTCTCCACCACTGGGGCCAGGACGTTGAAAGCCGGATGTAGGGAACCTCGGTGTCCACGCGGGGTATTTGGGGTGCGTAAAGAGCGAAGGGCGGAAAGTGAAAACGGTGGGAACAGACCGTGGTGAGGTTAATCGCCGCACCCCGCGCCCCATCCCGGTCTCCGAGGCCCGAAGAGGCTCCTTTTGGCGCCACCTGGCGGCCGTCGTGTGAGAGCGGAGAGGGGACCCAGCGCGGGTCGCGGGCCTGGGGCGGTCGCTTCCCGCGGGACTGGCAGGCGCCGGGGGAGGGAGGCAGGAGGGGGCATCCAGCTTGGAGAGCCAGGACTGCGCGGCCCGGGGCAGGGAACGTCTCTGGATTCGGGGGACCCCCCCCCCGGGACGCCCCCCTCCCACCCCCCCCCCCCCACCCCGGAGACCCGGGGACGCCGACCCCTAGCTGCAGCGGACCGGCTGCCGCGGGCCGGGACGCTGCGGGGCGCTGGGCGCCCGAGTCAACGTGCGCGCGCCCGCACGCCCCGCGCAGCACCCC